TCTTGGCTGCCACCTCTCCTGCTGAAGAGTCATTTTTGGATGACTTCACACCTTGCTGAGAAAAATGTGATAAAAAGAAAGCACTTCCTGGAAGCACAGCAAGTGGGGATTTAACCACAAACCTTAATGAATAAAATCATTTCATGAACTTTCCTGCTATGAAATGCAAACAGGATAACCTGGACTGGCATTGCTGCATCTTTTTGTTACGTTGCAGGTCCCCACAAATGTGAGAAAATGACATTTCTGAGCACTGGGCCATGGCTGTGCCTTCAGGCTGGGGATTCCAGCTGTGCCTTCAGGCTGGGGATTCCAGCTGTGGCCTAGGCTGGGGATTCCAGCTGTGCCTTCAGGCTGGGGATTCCAGCTGTGGCCTAGGCTGGGGATTCCAGCTGTGGCCTCGGCTGGGGATTCCAGCTGTGGCCTAGGCTGGATTGCTGGGACCTCAGGCCACACATTTCACACAGGGAAAGGGGAAGCAGCCCAGGTGAAGTGAGGGATACATTTCACAGTAATTATCTAATTTTCTGTAATTCCTTGATATTTCTGCTGTTTGTGGGTGCTGCCATAAGGAAACTCAGAGAACAGCTCAGAGAAGATTTGCAGTTGTGGGTGTGCACATTCTGTTTTTCTGTAGGGATAATTCAGCCTGATTCTCTGTTATCAGTAACAATAATACATTAATAATACTAATTAATATTTTAAATAGGATACAAAATACAATAGTATCTATTATCTAATAAATAGCAATAAATAGAAATGTAAAAAAAAATAAATGTAAATTATAAAGAAGAAATAAACAATACATAAAAGACATAAATATAATATATAACAGTATATATAATACATATAATAATATAGTAACAGTATATTATATAGTATATATAACAATAATATAATAACAGTATATTATATAGTATATATAATAGTATATATTATTTATAATATATAGTAATAGGTATTAATAATTTATATATAAATTTATATATTATTTATTAGATTACTATTTATTATCTAATAAATAATAAACAGTACATAATAAGAAATAAATAGTAAGAATAAATATAATATATATGACAGTATATATAGTATTTATAACAATGATATAATAGCAATATATTATAGAGTATATATAGTAGTAGATATTATTTATGATACTGTATAGTATTATGTAATATTTATATATATAAATGTTATATATTAGATTATCTAATCAATAATAAATATAAATAAATATAAATGTAAATATAAAATAAATAATAAAGAAGAAATAAACAACATATAATATAAAAGAAATAAGAATGTATAGAACAGTATATATAGTATATATAACACTGATATAATAACAGTATATTATACAGTACATATACTATATATTATAATATAATATATAGTAATATGTATTATACAATATATAATTATATAATTCATATTATGTTATGTTATATTATATTGTTATATTATATTATGTTATGTTATATTATATTATGTTGTTATATTATATTACATTACATTATATTATATTGTATTATATTATATTATATATACAAAATTATATATTATATATTATATACAACTCTAATTATATATTATATATATTTTATATATATATATATGATACAATTCTAATTTTATATACATATAAAATGCTACAATCAGTGTTGCCACAGACATGTTGGTGGATGGTGGCAGGCAGGCAGGCAGTGGGGAGGGGAGGAGGGCAGGGAGCAGAGCAGGGACTGACCAGGAGCTGTGCCTTGTGCTCCGAGGGCAGCAGGGTGAAGTTGATGACGGAGCGCAGCATCACGAGCACGATGGAGAGCACGAACACCACGAGCTCCTGGCGGTTCTCCTGCAGGATGCCCCTGCTCACGTAATACACACAGAACACTGGGGACGAGAGGGAGTGTCAGTGCCAGCTCCAACCGGGCCACAAGTCCCAGCCTGGGAGCCTCTGGAAGGATCAAATGGTCCCTGAGGCTCCTCCATCTTTGTTCTCACCCAGGAGCTCGAATCAGGGAATTCCAGCACTCCCCGCTGTGTTCAGCACACAAGAAGTTCAATAATTGGTTAATTTTTTAATTATTCGTGAAGTAACAGCGTGGAAATGGCAGTGTATTATCCCAACTGGCAGCTGGGCTGGGCCATTCTATGAATACCACACTGAACATTGTCCAGTTGTTTATTTGAATTAAATGAAACAGCACCGTTTTTATCAAAGAACTGAAATCTAATCATCTTCCCAGAGTAATTCAGGTGACTAAAAAGCAGTTTATTACTCACACACAGTGCTGCCTCTGTGGTCTGCCCACTGCACAGGCTTTGTGTGTGGAACTGAACGTGGACTGCATTCAGTTTATTTAAGTGTGGACATTTTGAAACACCCCACCCTGCAAACTATAATCCAAAAAAGAATTGGGTCAGGATAGGTCTGAGTTTTATTTTTATAAAATACATCAAACCCTCAGTCAGCTGTCACTGTGAATTTTATGCTTTTTTTTGGTAAAACTTCCATAAGGCAAAGGCTTTGTTCTTTCACAGGATGCTGCTGCAAACATTGGTTAATTCTTACTACAGCCAAACTAAGAACTAATTTCTCTTTGCAAAGCACTGCTTCCTGAATTCCACACATCAACTCATCCACATTTGCTGTGCTGGGACATGGGGACAACGCTGTACAAATTTTCAAATTAAATAATAATTTCACTCCCTCTAAATAAACCTTCAGTGAACAAACTTCCTTTTTCACTGCCCTTAGATAATAAAATGGAAAATGACTGGCCAATTCCAAAGTGAATCATGTGATTTTCTGGACATGACCTCAGGAAGACCTGAAAGGCTTAAAATAGTATTTCCTTGTTTTGCAAACTCAACTGTTTAATCCACAAAAAGTTGTACAAATTTGAAAATAAGCTCTTTTTTGGTCATCAAACTTTTTTCAGAGATATATGCACATGCATGTGAAATTTGCTGAAATCCTTGAGTTTATTATTGTCATGTTAATTTCTGTTTAATACAAATGGACCCCAGAAGTTTCTGAAGCTCTGATTGGAAATACCCAAGGAAGGAAGCTTGGACTGTGGACACCTGAATTTCCAACACATTATGGCTCAGTCATTAAAATAAGAACTGGTGAGTTTTTCTGGCATAGCTGAACATTCAGTATCTCTTATATAAGAAACTTCAGTTCCTGCTTGACCACATTATTTATTTATTATTATTTTCATTATTTACTCCATCCAAACTGGGTTTCTTACCAACTCCAACCAACTGAATAAAGGAAATGGTGAAATCCTCCTCAGCCTGGCGCACCAGGGTCTCTATGGTCAGACCTATGACACTCAGCAGGGACAGAATAGTGACACAGAAGTAGATCTTCACAGGGAATGAGAGCTCTGAACATGGTTTTATCTGTAAAGGGAGAAAATTCCTGAACACATCATGCAGAATAAACTCACTGTTCCTAAAAATGGTATTTTTAAGCGAGTGGGGTAAATGAGACTGCAGGGCTTCTTTTAGGAAAAGGAAGAGAAACTCCACGATGGGATTGAAACTCCCAAACTGCTGAGGAAGGCAGAAGTCTAACTTTATTTCGTAATTAATCTCAGCTTAGATTGTCCTGGTTTATACCCACAGCCTGTCTTTGTGCTTCACAAGGCCATGGTTTTATAATCCATGACATGAAGATTGCCAAGAGCAATTTCCTGCCAGAGCCTGGAAATAATAATTTTCCCCACACTTTAAGTTTTAGAAAACCGTAACGACAGTTCTCAGTAAGGCAAAGTCCTTATTTTCTTTTATTAAAATACTTCAGGTGGAGCAGCACCCTGGCAGGAATTCAACATTTGTTTGTTCCGCTGGAGGAGAGTGAGGGGAGCTCCGGGGCTACAGCTCCTCCTGCGGGACAGCTCCGATCTCTGCTCTGGACAGCGACAGGAGCAGGGAACGGCTGGAGATGGGCCAGGAGGGTTTAGGTTTGGGCCAGGAGGGTTTAGGTTTGGGAAAGGCTTTTCCCAGAGGGAAAGGGCACAGCCCTGGGAGCTGTCAGGGTGGCATTTTGGGGTGTCTGTGCAGGCCAGGAGCTGGATCAATGATCTCCCCCAGCTCAGGACACTCCACGATGCTGCCAGCAGAGCTGTGCCGATCCTCGCCGCGCGGATCTCCCTGATGCACCTGACTCGGAACGCCGATTTGAGCCATGTTTTACCATCCCACCCCCCGGGCAGAGAAACGCGGAGGACACCGGCAAGCAGCCCGCAGCAGCGATGTACTCACGGGGCCGCAGGGCGTGGGGATGAGCTGCCGGTGCCGCGGGGTGAGGTTGGGCAGGCTCGGCCCCGCCGGAGCCGCGGCGCCGCTGAGGGAGAGAGAGCGGGGCCGTCAGGGGAGGCCGTACCACCCCCACAGCGGGGGGGAACCGCCCGCGACCCCCCATCCCCAGCACGGGCGTTTCCAGGTGAGGCGCGGGGGGAACGCGGGGTGGCGCCCCCGCGCCGCCGCGCGTGGTGCGGCTCGACCCGGCCCGCCCCGCCCGTACCTGCCGTCCATGGCGACGGCCGCGCGTCGCGTCCCGCCCCGGCCGCGGGCCCTACATGGCTGCGGAGGGGTCCCGGCGGCGTTTCCGGGGCCGACCCGCTTGGCGTCACTTCCCCGGTACGGGCGGGAAGCGCAGCCTGGGCTCCTCCCGGGCGGCGGGGCCGCCGCGCTCCCGCCCCTCCGCCCCGGGGGTCCCCTCGGCGCTGGGCATCCCGCCCGGCTCGGTGTGAGGGGCGGCCCGCAGCGCAGCGCTCTGCGCGGCTCCACCCGGCTGTGCGTGCCCTGTAACCCCTTTCTGCTTTGCTTGGTTTCCTCGTGGTTTTGGTAAAATGGCTTCCCCGCCGCCGCGGTGACAAAGGGGCGAGCTCGGTGCCGCGGTGCCCGGTCAGCCCGCGGGGCCCGGCCGGACCCGCCTCTTCAGCCCGGGGCTCCGGGCACGGCAGGGGATGGGCGGGTGCTGCCCGGTATTACCGGAGCCCGGTGTTACCGGACAGTATTGCCGGAGCCCGGTGGTTGTTACCGGAGCTGTGGGAGCGCAGGTGCCGGCCGGGATGCTCTGAGAGCTCCGGGGATGGAGAAGGGATGGAGGGATGGATGGATGGATGGATGGAGGGATAGAGGGATACCGGGAGGGATGGGAGCGGCGGGCGCTGCCGCAGAGGACGGTCCCAGCCGGGCCTGGGCAGGGGGATGGCGGTGCTGGAAAACCCCTGGGCCCCAGGGCTGGGTCGGAAGGGCCGCGGTGCTCCCGGGCAGGGCTCCGGACCCCGCTCGGGTGCGGGGGATGCTCCGGGAGATGCGGGCACAGGGACACGGGCGGGATTGGGAATGGAGTGCGGGGAGCTGGTTGGGAATGCGGAGGGAAAGCTCTGGCAGTGGGTGAGCACAAACACAGCTGGAGTGCCACAAAGTGCTAAGCTTTTCAGCTTTTCAGCCTTTCAGCGTCTTCTGTTGTATTTGTGTTGTTTGTAGCATCTTGGCTGCTATTTTTGCCATAACGAAGCGGTGTTAATGAGCGGGGCTTGCTCACGGTGCTGAATTTTGTGCATTTGCTGCGTTGGGAGCAATGTTTGAGTGACCTTTTGCGTAACTCATGAAGGGTCATGGACACAAATCTTTGTTTTTTCACTGTCACATCAGCGCCAGCTTCTCAAACCCTTGCAACATAATTGACCTTTAGTGTCTGTTTGTGGCAAGCCGACTTTCTAAAGCTCTTTGTGGGTATTTTTTTCGCGGTAATTGTTACTGGGAGCGTAGTTAAGGCTTGGGGAAAATACAAGGAGTGTAAGAAGCACTCACTCTGCTGGTTCTTTTGAGCTGGAAGATTGAGTCTTTGTGAGTAATCCAAGAGAAACAACTGCCAACCACTGCCACGTTTTCATCTGTTGGTAAACATCAGCTGCTGGTTGGCCTTGAGGGAGGAAGACTGAATTAGTTCCAGATGGAGAACTCTTTCAGCCCATTTAGACTTTCCAATTGATTTAAGCCAGCAGGTCAGTAATTTAGGGGAGTAGTTTTTGTTCTTATTTGCTGTTCTGCTTCTTGCTGTGTGTAGAATCAGTGATATCAAATCTGATATCAGTAATTTAGGGGAGTAATTTTGTTCTTATTTGCTGTTCTGCTTCTTGCCGTGTGTGGAATCAGTGATATCAAATCTGATATCGCTGCTGAGGGTGGGGCTTTGGTTGTGCTCAATTGGTCTTGGTTTTAATTAAGTTGGGTAAACAGAAAAGATATTTTAAGAGCTGTGATAAATAACTATTCTATGTAGAGAGATACTTTTTTAATGACCTGGAAAAGGAGTAAGAGTCGAGAATCCATTTTTCTTAACAAATTCTCTTGGAGAACATGTAGCTTTTTTCAAAATTTTGTGTTAAACTGGGTTAGCACAGGTTGATGGTTTAATGTGTTCGTGTCAGAGGGTCCCATACCTCAGTGTGCTGCTGGCATGAATCCCTGGAAAAAATGGGAAGAGATAAAGGCATGGAAATGTTCAGGGCATGGCTGTAGTAACTAGGGAATATGAGGAATGGAAAATTTCACTGTGTAGGATATTGACACTGATACGAGATATTTAACTCCTCAGTACCTCTTTGTGATTTATTTGAGATGCCACATTGGACATATAAAAAGCATTAAAAATAAAATCTTAAAGAAAATAGAATGAACTGCTCACAAAATCAGGGCAGGGGCAGTAGCTCTTGCTACAACTTTTGTATTTCTCTTGCTTTTGATTATGAGAGAAGTAAAGACCACAGGGTGGTTTTGTTGTTCCCTCTACTCTGCTACTGTAACTTGCAACATTTTGTGTAATTTGTAAACAAAAAAGCTCTGGTTGCAAATCATTTAATGCCTCTTGCTGCCAAGTCTGTTAAAAAGGCTTTAAGAATTAGTTACAAGGGCTAATATTGAATTGCAAGGTACAGCAAAACGAGGAAGGTTGCATTACTCCCATGTAATTAAATAGATAACCAGCTCTTGGACAGATTTCCCTACTTTTTTCACTGGGATACATTTACCAGGGTAGCTCAGTGATTACTGGGAGTTACAGGCCTTGATTATTGATCCCTTTGACTCAGGTTGATAACAGGTTAATTAGAACTAAGGGCAGAGGTTCCTGCTTGGATTTGCTGGGTTGGGAAGATTTTTTCTAGGGAGTGTTTAAAGACAGACTGAGATCAAAGATGCTGTAGAATCTGCAAGAGGAGTGAGTTATAATTGGAAAGGCTGTGCTGAGGTGCTCCAGAGGAAAAAAGACATAAAAATACAATGGTTTTCTGGACCACTACATAATGGTGGGTGCCTGTTATTTTAGAATAAAAAGCCTCCCTAAGATAAGTTCTTGTTGCTTTACCTTGGCATGAAGACACCAGGAGTTCAAAATCCAGCCTGAAGGTCTCTTTATCTTTCATAAAGATAAAGTAGCAGGTGAAATGTGCTGTCTTTGCTGCATTAGGGATGTAAAATGTCACAAATTTTTTTTTTTCCCTTCTTTCCCCTCTTAGGCAGAAAACATGGAGCAGCCCACATGAAGAAGCACGTGGAGTTCATATTCCTGCAAGATGTTCTTTGTGGGACCAAGCCCAGTTTTCCAGGCCCCTGGGAGATGAAGCATTAATTAAGCACAGGACATTTTTGTTTGGACAAGTGCTGTGTCAGTGTTGCTTTGTGTGAAGGACAAATATTCTTTTTTTTTTTTTCTTTTTTTTTTCACCATGTCAGCCGTGACAAACTCACCGAGCCCGGAGACCCCGAGTTCTCCCCAGCTGGAGGAGAAGCCAAAAGGAAAATCCCTGTTCCAGCTGGGCTCACTCTTTGCTAACAGGAGTGAGAAATTCGTGATTGCTCGCAGTGACAGTTTGCCAGAGGAGAATGTGCTGAAAATCACAATCACAGAGACCACGGTCATCGAGTCTGACCTGGGCATCTGGAATTCCCACGCCCTCATCTACCTCACTCTGTGGTTTTTCTTCAGCTTTTGCACTCTGTTCCTTAACAAATACATTCTGTCCTTGCTGGAGGGAGAGCCCAGCATGCTTGGTACCCTGCTTTTCCTCAATTCTAGGGAGATTGATTGATTTTATTGGAAAGGGAGCCCCAAAAGCTGCCAGAATTTTTGGATAATGCTGCCAGGCACAGAGTGGGCTTGTTGGAGTGTCTGTGCAGGGATAAGAGTTGGGCTGGATGATCCCTGTGGGTCCCTTCCAGCTCAGGATATTCCCTGATCCTCTGATTGATAATCCCAGATCATCCCATATAAAGCTGAGGGAGGGAATGATTTAATTGAAGTGCAAAATGCTTGGTTTGAAAGGTGTGGGGAGGGATCTTGGGGCTGGGAATTTGGCCTTTGAAGTGGTTTCTGACACTGTCCTTTCCTCCACTTGCTGAAAGATGAAATTTTGCTCATAGAAGAGGTTTAAGGGGGGGAAAAAAAGTAATTTTTTTGTTTTCTGTGCTGGAGGATTTAACAAAAAGTAAAATTTTGAGTTGTTGATGTCCTCCAGAGCTGTGCAGTGCAAGAGTTGCCTTTGGTGATCTTTGTTACCTAATTTAGTTCTTTTATTTCTTTTTTTTGCTGTTTTTCTTTTTAAGGGGTAAGAAAGGGCCATTTATGTGTGAACCAGGTTTATAATAATTTGGTTTATCGTGCTGCCTTGCTTAGATATAGAAGCAAAGGACTTTTGTGAGAATATATAAAATATCCACAACCTGCCAAAAAACACCGCAGGGATGTTTGTGCAAAGAATTTTCTCATGAAAATGGATTTGTTGTGTTCCAGCTTCTGATGTGACTTTATTTGCCTTCTCTGATCCTCTTTTAGGTGCTGTTCAAATGCTTTCCACCACCTTCATTGGCTGCATCAAGATGTTTGTCCCGTGCTGTCTGTACCAGCACAAAACTCGAATCTCCTACCCCCCCAATTTCATCATGATCATGCTCTTTGTTGGATTAATGAGGTAAAAGTTTTCCTGCAATGTCTTTGCTAATATTTGTGGTTTTCCAAACCAAAGTTGTGTTTTCAAGTCTTTTTATTCTTGATGAAGTGTTTGGAAATTCACCTTTTTCCCCACCCCCCAACAAATATCCCAGGATAATTTTATTTTTTATTTGGTGTTGTTCGTTTTCCCAGCTGTCAATTTTTTGGCCTTCCCATCACATTTACATTTTTTCAGAGCTCACTTCTCTCTCTATTTACTTTCTTCCTGCTCTCTTTTGAGGCTGATGTTTGTTTAGTGCATTAATATTTACCAACCTTTTGCTCAAAACTGATCCAGGCTATTAAAATTTATCTTTTGGAAAGTAAATATTTGCTGAGTGCTGGGATTGTGTCAGTGTGTGGTGGAGGAGGGAATAAGAATGCCTGGTTTTGCTTCCTCTACCCTGTAAAACTGATAAAGAAAATCAAATAAGTGATAAATTCAATTAATTTCAGAGTTTAAACTGTGGTAATTGTGTGGCATATCTAATTTACACTAAAGATGGATAACTGCAGCTGAAGTTTCCTTGGTGAATTTCTCAGAAGATTTTCACTTTTCTAACTGAGCCTGTTGAAAGCTTTGGTTAAAATTGGTCACTTGAAACTTGGAGTGTGTTAAAAAATAAATTTGCTTTCTGGAAATCCACTCTGCAGCCAAAGACATTCCACAGTTGCCCAAGGGTGCCTTTATTTGCTTGAAATAAATAATGTTTAAGCCAAAGCTAAAATAAATAGATCTGACCTTGCAGGTGCAGAAGAAATCACAGTGCAGTTCTTTTTATTTTGTGTGTCTAAGAGTAGCTCTTGAAGCATTATTTTAATTTCTTCTGGTGCACTAATTAATTCCTTCATTTTTAAAATTATTTTCTTGTGTTTTTTTCTTTTTTCTGCTGCAGATTTGCAACAGTGGTCCTGGGCCTGGTCAGCCTGAAGAATGTGGCAGTTTCATTTGCAGAAACTGTGAAAAGCTCTGCTCCTATTTTCACTGTCATCATGTCCAGGATGATTTTGGGGGAATACACTGGTGAGTCCTGAAATGAGATTTAATTCCTCTTATTTTTTAATGGCCACTGTCAAAAAATGACCACTAAAATATAGTAAATGCAGCTGGAGGAATCAGTGTGAACACAATGAGTTTGTAGAATTAAAAGGGTTTTGGTGTAAGGGGATTTTTGTTATTTTTCTATCAAGAAATTATTGTGGCTTTAAATAACTGAAGTTCAGTGTGATCTTTTTTTAATTACTGTTCAGAATTTCAAATTCTCTCAAAATTCAGAGTGGAACACATGGAAAAAAAATGCAGCACTTAGAGTGAGATTGGCCTTTTTTTTGCTGTGCAGGATTGCTGGTGAATCTCTCCCTGATCCCTGTGATGGGAGGGCTGGCTCTGTGCACTGCCACTGAAATCAGCTTCAACATCCTGGGCTTCTCTGCAGCTCTGTCCACCAACATCATGGACTGGTGAGCACCACCAGGGCTCTGGGGCTGGCAAAAGCAATTCGTGGCATTGGGAGATGAAAGGAAATGGTTTCACATGGTTAATTCTGTACAGTGCATTGAAATGTTGGTATTGAAAATGATTTTTTTTAACAAATAATTCGTTTTCGTATCTAACGGCATTATCGAGATTAAATAATAAAACTTCATTAGACCAAACTCCTTTCTGTATTATAGAAAACATTTATCCACCTGATTGATTGATTGATTGATTGATTTGTCCTAACTAAAATACAGCTAAATGGTGGTTTTAAATTTTTTTTTATTTCATTTTTCTTCTCTAGTTTGCAAAACGTCTTTTCCAAAAAACTACTCAGTGGAGATAAATACAGATTTTCGTAAGTATTCAAAAAATTTCAGGTTTGGTTATATTAGGGCTGAAGAAAGTAAATATTTAGCATTATATTGCACCAGAAGGTGTAAATCTGATCACTTCTATCATTTTATCAGGGTAAGAAAATTCCCCTGAGCTCCCATTGCAAGTTTCATAATCAGCTACAACTCCCAGAAATAAATACTTAAAAAATTATATAAATAGTTACATATTTATCTGATTATGTATGTTTGTATAATTATATATTTATGAAATATTTATTTAATATAACAGTTTTGTAAATATGATTATGAAAATATTAATAAAAAATATTTTCACAGCAATCATTCCTTACTCTGCAATCAGGAACTATCCTTAACATTGCTGGGTGTGTAGAAAGCAACTTTTTAACTGAAACTTAAACCAAGAGTGAAGTCTTGTGCTAAAAAAAACCTTTAATAATATATTTGTATTTTACCAAAAAGCTACTTTTGTTTTTTTGTGCCTTTTAGCTTCAGTCCCTGAGTGAAAACCTCTGTCTTTGCTTTGAAAAAGGAAATTTGAAATAATTTGAGTTTTTTTTTTTCTCCTTTGTAGAGCCCCAGAGCTTCAGTTCTACACAAGTGCTGCTGCTGTGGTTATGCTTATTCCAGCTTGGATATTTTTCATGGTAATTGGAATTTGTTATTTTAATTAATTTAGGAGGTTTTATTTAATTGTGAGCAAATGTGCTACAAAAGTTAATCTTAAATTTTACCTTTTATCTTTCCCATTTTTTAAAATCAGCCTGAAATACAATTCTCCCAATGTTAGCAAGAGACTGTGGGAGTAAAAAAGAGAAAATTGTAAAAGAAATCATTTAATATAGACATGAATTAATCCAAAAAGCCTGAGTTTATTCTCAGGATTTTTGAGTTCAAATCATGATTTTGTCTCAGTGCATTTGAGGTTTGAGATAAAGATTTGCAAACAAAATCTGGAATATTTGTTAACTTTCTGTTGATACTTGTGTGGTGTACAGGAACTCTCTGAAGGCAATTTTTTTTTTTTTGAGGAAAAAATTACAAGATCTAAATGTCTTGTATATTTTAGATTTTGTTGGGTTAAAATTTCAATATAAAACTCTGCTTCTACCAGTTGGGTGGAAAAATCACCTCGATTTTTCTCTCATGAATTAAACCTTTAAATTCCTTTTTTTTTTTTTTTTTTTTGCCATTTAGGACGTGCCTGTGATTGGGAAAAGTGGGAGGAGCTTCAGCTACAACCAGGATATTGTCATTCTCCTCCTGATAGATGGAGTCCTGTTCCACCTGCAGAGTGTCACAGCCTATGCCTTGATGGGGAAAATTTCTCCTGTGACTTTCAGGTAAAACCCTCAGGAAAATTATTTTCTATTTTTTGATCAGGGACAATGTTTTGTATTTTTGATGTGGAAACAATATTTTATATTTTTTTGGTCATGAACATTATTTTATATTCTTTTGTCAGGAACACTATTTTATATTCTTTTGTCAGGAACAATATCTTACCTTTTTTTTGTCAGAAACACCATTTTATAATTTTTTGGTTACACTATTTTTTTTTTGTCAGGAACATTATTTTTTATTCTTTTTTTACCTGCTCAGTATTTCTGCTTGAGAGCCAGGCAGTAAAGGTGGTGAATGAGGAAAATCACAGAATGGTTGGGGCTGGAAGTGGAATTTGAGGTGGCATTTTAAAAAAAAGGAAAACTAAAGGTATTTGCAAAGAAATGGATGAGGTAAATCATAGGATGGATGGGGCTGGAAGTGGAATTTGAGATGGTGTTTAAAAAACTGTCCCCTGATGTCCCTGTTGTTCCTCATGGCCCCATTGTCCCCTGTTGTCCCCATTGTCCCCTGTTATCCCCACTGTCTTTGCTGTCCCTGATGTCCCTCATGTCCCCTGCTGTCCCTGATGTTCCTCATGTCCCCTGATGTTCCTCATGTCCCCTGATGTTCCTCATGTCCCCTGATGTCCCTGCTGTCCCCGCTGTCCCTCCTGTCCCCACTGTCCC